AAATGACCCCTGAGGTATTTTTAGATGCCGACCATATGACTGAGAAGGAAGCAGCCGCTGATTTCCATAAATGAAGAATGAGTGGCTTTTTAAAGCCTTAAGATGGATGTGTGCTTCAGGGTGGGTTGGTAATTACTTCTGCAAAGGGTCCGGAGTGAAGGGCTCTGTGATTGAATTGTTTGCTGACGGAACGGCCTCTGCCATCCTTAACTTAAAGAGCAAAATGCCATAAATCATGTGCGCAGATCCCAGTCGCCTCCCACGACACTCCTAATTTCTTTCACCCCATTTTTATTTCCTTAAAAAGTTTCTCACCACATAAATTGACGGGCAGCATGGAGGAGATGAGAGGAGCGGTAATGGTCGTTCCAGGCCTTTGCTGATACTTGGCTAAAGAATAATAGTAGTCAACCTTTGTGTTCTTGCCAATACGGAGCCGTCATCAAATATAATTTAAATAATCACACTGCGACTAAATTGATAACGTAAGTCATGAGCTTAACTAAAACGTAGGCCATGAGTGATGGACCCTCAAACCTCACGTGGAAAGCCTGCTGAAGATGGGAAGCGCTAAGAAGACCAAACCCGTCTAATCCATTACAGTAGTTCCTAATTTAAAAGGAAAGGCTTCAGATAAATGTACTATGAGTGTTTCATATTTTATTCATTTTTCTCACAGATGCTACAACAACACAGAGTAGAATGTGTTGTAGTTGCTGTGGTTTGTCACTAAGAGCATTTAGGGTCACGATCGCAGGGGATGTGGCTTAATTGAAGAGATCCCTTGATTGAATTCCTCATATCAGGAAACCTTATAAAGTTAAGTTCAAGACCAATGAAGCACAGTAACTGTGGAAAGTCTGAAACAGTTACTACATTTACTGAGACAAAGTAACTAAGAAAACAATTACAATAAAGAAAACAATTAACGATAAACCATTGTTATATCAGCAAGTTTATTAATTATCTGATACATGGGAACAGTTGTGGTGTAGATTTCAATGTTAAAATGAAACTGATGGCACCATTAAAGGAAAAGTTCCCTGAACATTTATTGACCCTCGTGTCAAACCAAACCTTTATGACTGGAACACAAAAAAAAAAAGTTTTTTTTTTTTTTTTCTTTAGTGCAATATATTCTGAAAGTGTTCTGTGTGGTTGAAGTTATGTCACACACAAAAGAATACAGAATTAAAAACAAACACCTGTCAGAGAGATTCAAAACAAATTTGGCTGATTTGTAAATAATCATTAATATCATGCTCACATATTATTCACAATAAATTATATAAAATTACATTTTTTTTTGTCTGTAGTGTGGAGTGTAATGTGACAGAATTATGACAGAATTTTCATTTTTGCGTGTACTGTCCAGTGCCGGCCCGTCCAACAGGTACTCGCCTGGGGCCCCGCGGCCGCGAGGTTGTCAATTAAATTTCAAGGTGTGTTTGACTTGAAGCGGCGTGGTGCAGACAGATCGGTGTTTGACATTGAAGTACCACGAGAGCTATATACTAATGGACAGCTCTGCATGCTTTCCTATCCTATTGCAGTACTTTGATGTCAAACACTTATCGATCTGCAGCGCCCTTTTAATTCAACACACATACAGATGACACACCAGATGTACAGTGCGTTTAAAAACATTTAATGACGTTTTTGCTCTAAATTCATTTCATAACATCAGTCGAGTTTTTGAAATAACTTCCTTTTGTGATCTGACGTGGTTTCATATCACAGAATGAGGCAAAATCATTTTATAATATTCTATACAGTGATAAAAGCTATGTTGATTAGCATTGCATTATAAATATACTGTACATTATGCATATAAAAAATACCCGTGATGGCTTGAAGAACAGAGATACACCATTTAGTCACAATCGTATGTTTATGGTCTTCATTCTTTATCAGTTAAAACATCCTATCTGCATTTTATTCAGCTACTGCAGCGATAGCACATGCCTTTGTCCATGTTAGGGATTTCCTCCAACGTGGTTTTTGTGAGTATTTCATTTTATGATTTTTTCACTTATGGTTTTACTGCACTGCCCTCTGGTCACCAGTATGAATGAAACAGCTACAGCTACTCTCTACACCTTATTTTGGGTAAAAATTTGAAAAATAATACTTCTAACTTTTTCGCCAGTGTAGAGGAGTTTCTCACTCTCTCTCTCTCTCTCTCAATGGATGCATAATATTTTCTGACAAAAATGAAGAAATTACTGTTAATGATTTTTAATCATAATCATTTATAAATCCTTAGACCGTTCTAAACAATTATAAACCTCTTGCATGTTAACAGGTCATGCTGCAGTTTTCTGTAAACTATATTAATAATAATCATTATCAATAATTATTACTTTGTTTAATGATTTATTTAGTTATAACTATAATCAGAATTATTAGTAGTCATATTGATATATAAAAACAAAATTTTTGGGGGGCCAAATTGTGCAGATCTACAAACAGGCACAGCAAACTTAGTGTTATTTATAATTTCTGGCAAATAAAGAAAACGTTTATCTGAAAACTTTTCTAGTTACAGTTCAGATTTTGTTTGTTCAGATTTTGGAATTGAAATGAAAGAATGATAGAGAGATTAAAGTGAAATTGTAGTAGAAATGGAATCCAAACGGTATCTTTATGGAGCCGAAAAAAAGGATGTTCTGACTGCTATACATAATATTTATTGCTTTAGTATTAGTATTTGTTTTATAAATGCAATGACGCCCATGATCATAGACAGACTTGTTATATGTTTAAATTGCTATGACAATTTTTACTCTAGTGGGGCCTATTTTCGTTATCTTGCCTAGGGCTCCACAACCCTACGGGCCGGCACTGGTACGGTCCCTTCAATTTTAATCAGATAGCAGATTTTGAACATAAAAATCGACAGTAAATGGGGAGTAGAATGGCACACCATGCATCTTAAACAGAACCAGCATACAAATTTATGCGTTATCAGTACCTCTCTGTGACTTCAGACCGAATTTAGACAAGCTATGTAAGATTCGTATGCAATGCAAATCTGTGCCGGCAGTGCTGCAGCTAGCATGTGAACATTGCTTTTAGCTTGCTGGCATGTCACAGGCCTCTTTCCTATTTCTGCATAACTACAGTGACTAAAATAAACTCCAGTTCCCTCTGGCATGAACTGGGACAGAGCCAGCCTCTTCCTTTCTCACTGCACTGAACATTAATCTACACAGCCGTGTCAGGCGCTAGCTAACTTGCGCTCGCCTGAGCCACACGGAGTTCGGTAAGGGTTTCCACGGTCTGGCCTCTCAAGGCATTTAAAAGTTTACAAAGGAATACAGCTGAATTATTTAAGCCTCGTTTGTCAGTAAAAAATGGAAACAGATGTTAACCTTTTAACTGGAAAGCGGTTTCGTTCGAGGTGTGAGCGTCACTTTGTGGCGTGTAAACAAGTTTCGAAGAGTGTTGGGTGGAGAAAGCGCGTGTTGTGATGTCATAACATGGATTAGCTCATGAAAATGAATTGCATAAATATATTAAATTTTTTTGCTTTGATAAATAGTCGTGCATTGATATGTAGATCTGGTCTGTATTTTATTTTATGTATTTAATTTTATTGAATGACATTTTATTTATTAATTCATTACTACGTAAATCAGCAGTAGATGATCAATTATGGGCCGTTGGTCTAATTGTAATATTTTTTTACCTTGGATATTTTGGATAGGAACTCATTTGGAAGCATTTTGTTTTATGGTTTCAATGAAACTAATTACAAGCTGGGGAAAAGTATTACTAGCTAATTTAGTGTAAGCTGTGTTTTACCAGTGACATTTTTTGGGGATGCTTTTAAAAGCATTTCATATCTGCTGACTTTGAGAAGTGCCAAAGTGAACATAATAAAAACAAAAATAACAAATTCAAGAACCATTGCATCTCATTGTAATACCCACTAATAAAATAAAAACCTATGCCCAAGAATTAGATTTTTTTTTGTGTTGCATAGATCCAGTCCCAACCTATTTCAAGTGGTGGGGAACAAATCATCCATGGCGGAAAAGTCTGTAAATGACGCCTGTGATTCACAGTTAAAATTAGAGAATGCTTGTACTTTCCTCTTCCGTTTGTCACTTTCATGTCAATCAGCGTGTGTGAGAGAGGACTTGTGTTATGACGATTGAGTCCACACTCTCAAAATGCTACGGATACTGATTCAGGAGCGCTCGGAGGCTGACAGCATGTGGAGATGGAATATAGTGCTGTAAGGTCTAAGTTCAGCGGAGGGAAATGGAGACTCGGAGGTTGCATTACTGTGTCAGCGTTACGTAAGAGTTGATTATCACATCTGCGTCTTTGCCTGCCAAGTTTTCCAATCACTGCACACACAAGTCTCAGCCGTTTACTACTGTTACACAAGGGATGCCATGCCAAAAACGGTATCTCTTAAATAAAAACACTTTCATACGGTGTACAATACACATATATATCAGTGAGATAACAACTGAAATTGAAATGTTAGATGTCAAATATACAGTAAAGAGTGTGTATTGTGAGTTTCGAAACTAAATTGTGCTTTGCTTTCCTCTCTGCTGTCACAGTTTTCCAGCTTACGGAGTGTGTGTGTGTGTGTGAGCGTGGGTGAGAGCGTGCATGCGTATGTATCATCACATGCCTACGTGTGAGTGCTCAAGCACCATAACGAAGCGATTTCCGCAGAGAGAGAGACTCAGAGGAAGCAGTACGGGTCTGGAGCCACATATGGGCCTTCTTAAGGGATTTTCCTTTTCCCTTCCCTGACTGTGCGAGCTCTGCCTGTCTCTGTAAAGCCTGCTTGAAGTCTTTAATTATATTATATAAGCCAAAAGATCAAGGAAGCGTATTGAGAGTGTCCTCTGGAGCACATCCCTTTGTGTGGGGGGATTTCAAAGCTCTCGTACTTAGTCCTCCATCATGAGCGCTAACTCGCTTTATTCGTTTATTCATTCTGCTTTTCCTGCCTTTGTGTCTTCCACCTCCAGTTGAGCATGTGTCAGTCTCCCATCAGTCTCCCAACTTAAGATCTACAGTGGAGCTTACAAGAATCAGTGATCTGGGAACCACTGAATCAGTCCACTCGATGCTCAGTGTCATGTTGAATCAGACCTCCCAAAAGTCGGACATCTTGGCTCAAGCTCTAAACACAACTTGACATTTACTGTATGCCATTATCTGACAGCAGCTGTGTTTAGGGTCATTCTGTGTAGTAAATAAAATATTATAGGTCTGCCATAAGAGTTATTAGTCCTTGTGTTCTGTTAGGACTGAGAGACCCCAAGGCCATTTAAATGGGTTGAAAAATTTTCTTATCATTGAAGGATCAGGTGGAGTTATAATGTTTCTCAATCTATTATATCTCTATATCTATTAATAAGATGCTGCAACCAAAATAATTACTGTTACATTATTACATTTAGGGTCTTAGGGACCCCATATACAAAATGTTAATTAATGCAATGAATTTTATCATATGATTATATGATTGGTATACACACCAATTGCGGCTGTCTTAATTATGTTTTCTGCAATATGATTTTTTCAGGAGTCAGATCGACCCCGGACCAGTGTTGTTACTATTAACTAAATATAGAAATATTACAAATCATTCTTGTTAATTGCAGTAAAGCTAAAATAAAATATAAATGTTAGAAAACTTAAAATTCAATGAAAGCTAGAAATGTTGCCTTTGCAACTTCATGAAAAAATTTAAGTGGAAGTAATACAATGAATAAAACTTAAACAAGAATAAATTACAGCTAAATATTAAACAAAAAACTTGTAGTAACACAATTACTGAAATGAAAACTGAAAATGAAAATAAAAGCTAAATATATAAAAAATATTGACAGATACTATAATAGCATAATAAATAAATAAATAAAATAAAACTCTTTCCTGAGCAGAAACAACATAACTAGAATGGATATTAGTCACAGTTATGCTTTGAGATAAAATAAAGAATTATAGCTTTTGTTATACAGTATCTGTGAAATCTGGAATAGTATTGTCTCCATATAACTAAAATGGGCCTGAAAAAAAAGCACACCTCAGAAAAACAAAGAGAAGATTTACAGTCAGCAAACATTATTGTGGCTTTGGGTTTCCCGGAGGACTGATACTAATTAATAGTTCATCTTATAATTAGAGGTGTTTGCTATGCATTATTGCTCATACTTGGATTAGGGATTTTGAACCTGTGTATTACACATTGGCATGTAACTTGTCCTGGATCATTGTTGCTATGGGGATGAACAATTCCTCATGTCATACTGCTAGCTTGTTGAGGAGAGGTGTGCCATTACATTTCTAAGTGACCAGATTATGGTTTTGCATGGCATTTCTAGAAACCAGGGTATCATAGAGACTTTTGACCAGTAAGCAATCACCTACCAACCAGCCAGGACATCTTAGCCACATAGCAACACCCTGGCAACCATCCAAAACAACCTAGCAACCACATAGCAATACCCTGGGAACCTTCTGCGGATAGAACATTACTAGGTGCTGATCTAATAAAAACTTCTACTTTTGAATTTCAAACTTTCAAAACACACCTATACACAACATACTCTGTAAAAGTATTTAAGCTATATCTAAATGTTTCAAAAGCCAATAAACTTTTCTCTGTCCTCCAGGCCCAAACATTGTCTTAAACTCACTAGACTCAGATCAGATTGCCAATGTTTAGGGAGAGTCTGGGATTGAAGTCTGACAAAGTAGTCTGGTTTGAGGGTGCCGATTTTATAGATGACTGGCTGGAACTCTGGGAGAGCAAATCGAGCTTTGAACAGCATAAAACAGAATATTGATCACTTTAATTATAAATACGAACTCATTTGCATCACAAAAGAAAGGACGAGGAAGTTAAAGTTCAGCTGTGGTTGTCTGACTGCAAGGTCGGATGGCAGAATAAATGAGCCAATACTTCAAATACAACCCAGTCTGTTTATATTAAATATTTAGATGAATTGGATGCAAGTTGTCAATCATTTTCAAAATGCGTTCAATTCAACCTTTTTATGAAAATCATTTATTGGTAATTATAAATATGTGGTATTATTACACGTCTATCTTCTATGAATGGTTAATGCTGTGGCATTGCACAGATGTTTGGACTGCAAAGCATATTAAAGTTCATTTGACTAATGGTGTTTACAGTGCAAATACTGTAGTTATGCTCTGTCGACTTCTAGAAGATAAGCAAATCTTAAGTAATCTATCTAATCTGTTCTGGATGCCTGCAGATGTTATGTGATCATTGGCAACAAAATGAGCCTGAATGCTTCAGCTTCAAACTCTCTCCCATGTGCTGGTCATTGTGAGTTAAACTCTGTTCAAAGAGCATGAACTCTAGAGCTCTATGGGTGGTTAAAAATAAACATGTGGCATTGTCGGCTGGGGAGGGTTTTTTCCTCTAGCACTGGAAGTCTTACAAGTCAGCTGAACAATAATTACATCTCCTGAGAATCTGCGATGAGAAAGTTTGTATAACGAAGACTAGCAACCACATAGCAATACCCTGGGAACCTTCTGCGGATAGAACATTACTAGGTGCTGATCTAATAAAAACTTCTACTTTTGAATTTCAAACTTTCAAAACACACCTATACACAACATACTCTGTAAAAGTATTTAAGCTATATCTAAATGTTTCAAAAGCCAATAAACTTTTCTCTGTCCTCCAGGCCCAAACATTGTCTTAAACTCACTAGACTCAGATCAGATTGCCAATGTTTAGGGAGAGTCTGGGATTGAAGTCTGACAAAGTAGTCTGGTTTGAGGGTGCCGATTTTATAGATGACTGGCTGGAACTCTGGGAGAGCAAATCGAGCTTTGAACAGCATAAAACAGAATATTGATCACTTTAATTATAAATACGAACTCATTTGCATCACAAAAGAAAGGACGAGGAAGTTAAAGTTCAGCTGTGGTTGTCTGACTGCAAGGTCGGATGGCAGAATAAATGAGCCAATACTTCAAATACAACCCAGTCTGTTTATATTAAATATTTAGATGAATTGGATGCAAGTTGTCAATCATTTTCAAAATGCGTTCAATTCAACCTTTTTATGAAAATCATTTATTGGTAATTATAAATATGTGGTATTATTACACGTCTATCTTCTATGAATGGTTAATGCTGTGGCATTGCACAGATGTTTGGACTGCAAAGCATATTAAAGTTCATTTGACTAATGGTGTTTACAGTGCAAATACTGTAGTTATGCTCTGTCGACTTCTAGAAGATAAGCAAATCTTAAGTAATCTATCTAATCTGTTCTGGATGCCTGCAGATGTTATGTGATCATTGGCAACAAAATGAGCCTGAATGCTTCAGCTTCAAACTCTCTCCCATGTGCTGGTCATTGTGAGTTAAACTCTGTTCAAAGAGCATGAACTCTAGAGCTCTATGGGTGGTTAAAAATAAACATGTGGCATTGTCGGCTGGGGAGGGTTTTTTCCTCTAGCACTGGAAGTCTTACAAGTCAGCTGAACAATAATTACATCTCCTGAGAATCTGCGATGAGAAAGTTTGTATAACGAAGAGTTTTTGGAGCACATTCGATTCGGCGGGAGAGTTCTCCACAGTGGAAAGGGAGTAATTGCTTGTTATCAAAGAAGAAGAAAAGATTCTGATTTGTATTTGTCATCGGCATATCCTGGGGTGAAAGCTTTTGTTAGAGCGAAAATTAGCTCAGCTGAATAACCGTCTTTGACCAAAACATTCAGAAACACTTCATTTACAAAAGTCCAAAAGAGACAAAAGTCCAGATTTAGGCTCTGTTTACTCCTGGTTTAAAGATCTGTCTCAGGTGATCCAATCACAGGTGTCAGCAGAGACACATTGCTGTTTACCAGTGGCGGCTCGTCGGGGGAGGCAGGGGAGGCACAGCTTCCCTAAAATTTTGAGGTGAAAATGGGAGGACGACGATTTAATGTTAATAAAATTCACAATTTCAGTTCATATCTCAGAACGTGTATTTTTTGTTTGTATTTTCACAGCTGTAATACCATAACATGTTATTGAAGTTGGAAAGCGCCGCTTTTCTATCGCGAATGTGCCGAATCTGCTGATGTAATTACCGCTAAATGATAGA